CTTAAAAATAATATGTCAGTACCCTCCAGCAAGTTCAAATCTATCTCTATTGCAACTCAAAAATAATCTTTCTTTGTAAGCACAGCTTTGTCTTGATGTTTGTCTGGTCTACATTCACGCTGATATATATTCTTTTCTTGTTCATTTTTTTCTACATGTATCTGTACATATTGTAACAGTACCATTTTGTCATCTCAATTGGAAAAAGATTCACAAACTGAAGGTACCAATTTATTTTATTCTATTCTATTCTATTCTATTTTATTTTGAGGCAGGGTTCTCACTGTGTAGCCCCTCAAACTCATGGTGTGCCTCCTGCCAGAGCCTCCCAAGTGCTGGGATTACAGGTGTGTGCCACCATGTCCGGCTCAGACATATTTTAGAAAACATACTAAAATTAAAATTTTGCAATTAAAAGGTTAGATTTATGACAGGAGAGTCATGATGCCTGGAACATATCAATAGAAAGAGGTGTTTTGTGTAAAAATACACTCACTAGAGAGGAAGATTGAGTCTATCTGAGTGGTGGAGATTTACTTACAAGGCAGTCAATGAATTCCTAGGCAGTGATGTGCTGGGAAATCTTTTATAGCTAGTTAAGCGGGGAGCCCTGATTTCTAGCATTTGCTGACCCTTGAGATATATGAATATATGAAAATAACCCCAGGAGCACAGACAAGAGTAACTATAATTGTAGTATTAAGGAGAAGGAGCTTCCTTGCTGCTTCCTCCCCAGCCAGCAAGGCTCCATCCTTGTTACCTGACTTTTAAACTGAAGTTATCAGAATAATTCTCTGGAAAGATTTACAACTTCTTGGATGTTCTATATAAGGTATTTATAGCTTTTGCATGGCCATCATCAAATACTAACCAGTAAAATCTCTACGACAAAGGACAAAGACTGGGGAAATGCAGATTAACAGTGGCACATGGGAAGCGACTCAGGTCTTGCAGGAAGAACCAGGGCCCTGTCAGACACACTGCACCCTTGGCTCCGTGCAGGAACCATGGTTTGCAGAGGCAGCACTGCAGTGGTCTTACTTAGGTGCTTGGCCAGGCCTGCGTCTCAACAGTTAGTGCTGGATATTATGGTACTTCCAAGCCTGGCACTTGGAACAGAGAGACTCCACACCAAGGACAGTTAGGATAATACAGAGACACAAAGCTAGGCCAAGGAAAAGCTTGCAAGAAGCTTGGCTGATGACTGTGAAGAGGGAATGTTCCAGTAGCGATGTGACTTTCACAGTCATGGCGGAGAGGTCACTGACCGACCGACAGCCAGGGTGTGCAGAAGAAAGCTGGAAGCACTCTGTACAGCATGCAATATAAGGAGGAATTACCTAGTGATGACAGCTGCTTACAAACAATAGGTTTAGTTCCCAGTTACTTGGAACTTTCTAAGCCAAGGCTGAGTGAGCACTGAAGGACGTGTTACATAAGCAGACCCACGCATCCTTGTGAGAACTGGGTCAGCTCAGGCCTGGAGGTCCTCCCCAATTTAGCCATTTCTCTTATGCAGGCACAAAACACATACTGTAGAGCTAATCTCGCATGCCATCCAAATACCTGTGCACGGATGTAGACGTATTTCCTAAACGAACAGGCTATTTGGATAAGTGTTTATGATCATTTGCTATAAGAGATACTGAAAATATACACTTTTTGGATATAATGTTTAATTGCACCAAGTTTGCCTATGATACCGGAGAGATATTCAGGTTCTATACTTAAAAGAATGTATATCTCATGTAAGTATAAAAGAAAATCTTTAGCCAGGCACAGTGGTGGTGCACACCTGTAACCTTAGCACTTGGGAGACCGAGGCAGGATTGCTATGAGTTTGAGGCCAGGCAAGACTGCATAGTGAGATCTTGTCTCAAAAACCAAAAACCATAAATGAATGAATAAAATTTATTGTTTATTTTCCCTTTAATGTATGTTAAATTACAGAACTTTTGGAGAAACCCAAATGCTAAAGAAGAAAAAGTCACCTGTTGTGCTGTTGGTCACAGCCATTGTCGTGACACCTTGGTACATTTCTTTCTAGTCCTTTTCAACTCTGCATATTTTGTTTGTTGTACATATTTGTGATAATATTGTTTCTGCATGTTGTGTCCTGCTTCTGAGGCACAAATAATTTCCTCTGTTCTTACGAACTACATAAGAATCCATCTGGCAGATGACAACTGTTTATGCTAAGCATTTTCTTACACAGGCTATTGATGATTTTATAGGGAGTTCTAGTCTTTGAACAACACAGTGTGAATTATTGTGATAGTGTAGATCTGCAGCTTTGGGAAACTGTCTTCCAGAAACTGTCTTTCAGGCCAGATTCTAGCTACTGAGTCTGAAAAAGCTGACAACTCCATATACTTCCTGGTGAAGTCTTTGTAACAGGCAGGGTTTGATCTGCATGACTTAGGAAGTATGGCTGTGGTAGTTTTGCCAAAATTCTAAACCACATGTTTTTCATCAGGGCCAGCTCTTCACACCTTGGAGTTGGTGTTTCTTCCTGGCAACACTTTGTCCAACTGAGTAGAGGATGCCAAACGGTCCTGTTTACTAACCAGGAAGGTTTGCAAGTGCATCAACACGCAGTGTCCCTGCGTGAGATGTGCAGGGTCCTTAACTGCTACTCAGCTCCAAGACCAGCTCTCCAAGACCCAGAGGAAGTTTTCCTCTGGATGTGCAGAGCTGGGCTCAGTTCTATAGGAAACCATTACTGTGTATCTGCTCTGTGAGCAGGTAGTGTTTTTTTTTCTTGTCTTTTTTTGGGGGGGCGGGGGGGGGATAAGGTCACCTTGCTATGTAGTCCAGGCTGTTCTTGAATTCACTTTCTGGCCCAGGTTGGCCTCAAACTTCCAGTGATCCTCCTGCCTCAGTCTCCATTACAGGCATGCACCACCACATCTGGCCTAGTTTGCTTTTATGTGGTTGTTGTATTTTGGTGGGGCTGGGGATTGAACTCAGGGTCTTGTGCATCAAGGCAAGAGCTCTACCACTGAGCCACATCCCCAGCCCTGCAGCTTTCAATAGAGGCTCACATAGAAGAGTGTAGGACAGCATGTGGATGAGGGAGTGGGATTCTAAGGCCTCCTCCAGGATGGTTTGTTTTCAGGGGATGAAAGCTCAGCAGGAAGTAGATGGGACAAATCTATGTATGATTGACACATTTAACCAACTGTCACTTAATGACCAAGATGATTTGTAAAACACCTCTTTCTTCCAGAGCTAAGAGGGATAAGTGAAAACATTTATGTTTTGGACAGATTTAGGGAACCAACATTTTAGCAGTTTCCTTCCCAAGCTAAAGATTCATTTTTTCATCCATTAATGCAACAAATTATATGGCTTCACACTGAGCTACACCCTCAACACATATTTTTTTTTAATTTTGAGAGAGAGCGTCTTGCAAAGTCATTGAATGGCCCACGATGGGCTCAAACTCATGATTTGCCTGCCTCAGCCTTCCAGAACACTGGGGTTACAGGCCTGCACCTTGAGGCAGTTTCACTGAGGAAGAGGGATGAGTGTGTGAGAGCTCTGGGTGAGCTTCCACCATGCTGTGGCAGGGGTCTGGAACCAGGACCCATGTCCTAGCAGTGCTATGTTGGGAAAGCTCAAGGGACAGCCTGAGAAAGGTCACACAGGAAGGGAGGGCGTGGCCTGCAGTTCCAAGGTGAGCACACAGCCACACACTGTAAGCTGACAATCACTGGTGCACATTCAGTACTGCAGCACGCAGAATGGGCAGTCCAAAAGGAAGCAAGGAGAGGGTGGGGAGACACCTCCCTAACATCCAGTCTCAGGCTCAGAGGAGGAGCAAGGAGAGGAGACCGGAAAGGGTGGTTAGAAGATTAGAGGAAAACCAATAAAATCTCAAAATGATTAAAAGAGTGCAGTTGTTTCTCGTGGAAGAACTTTGAAAACCGTCTTACACATCTGGGATGAAGAATACGGTGGTGAGTAGAGATGATGGGGAACTAGAAGAATCTTCCTCTTCTTGCCTCCTAAATGCCATCACCGCGCATCGGGGCTCAAGGTCGGATTCTGGGTGTTCCTGCGGGCGTGGCCAGGTGCACTCTGGAGAGAAATGCAGACACGCAGGGTACACAGCAGCTGTGACAGGGCACGTTTCAACGCAACTCCATCCCGGCGATCCTGGCTCTTTTTCTTCTTCTACTAATCCTCTTGGAGGTGATGTCAGTGCAGCTCCCGCACTGGTGGCAGCAGTCACATTTACAGTGTTCGGAAGTACTGTAACTTCACCTTTGAAACAGTGAGGTTGGCACCCATATTTCACACCCAGGAGTCCAGTCCTGCATCACAGATTTTACCGCTTTTTGTCAGATGGACTGGACCAATTTCTTCAGCTGTATCCCGCTCATCGCTAACTCAGTTTTCTGTTAGATGTTACGCTTAGTTATATGGTACTGGATTGAACCTGGAGTCTTCACACATACCTAGCCCTTTTTTTTATTGTTTGAAACAGCATCTCGCTAAGTTGCAGAGTTAGTTACCTAGGCTGGGCGGGAACTTGAGATCCTCCCTCCTCAGCCTCCCAGAGCGCTGGGATGACAAGCCTGCACCCTCACCCCAGCTAGAAATCACTGTCAGCAGCTTGCATTAGCCGAGAGACTCTAGCCTTGGTTCCACGAGCTCACGCAAAGGTGAGCTTAATTCACCCACATGGAGCTGGCCCAATGATGACCTTGTGCGCTCGTGAACTCTGACCGTGGCCGAACCCGAGTCTGCAACGCCGGCCCCTATTCCAGGGGCACCAGGCTCACCCACAGCGTCACCTTCTTCAGCAGCGGGTATCTTTCAGAAGGACGCCGGGCTCCGCGAGTCCGAGGGCGAGCGCGTTCACAGACCAACCAGAGTCCCGCACAGCGCGCGGCGCAGGGACACAGCCCAGAAGCCAAGAGCTGCTACCAGAGAGACCACGCAGCGGGGCGGGGCCAGTACCCGGCAGGAAGGGGGCGGGGCTGGGAGCCGCCCCACCCCGTCGGTGGCTCCGCCCCGAGTGACGTCACTGGCCAGGCCGGCCGGCGCCATTTTGAAAGTGGAGTCGCCTGCCGCTGCCGCCCGCCGCCGCCGCCTCCGCCGTCGCTGTCGTAGACTCCGCCACCGCCGCCGCCGCCACCAGAGAAGAAGCACCGACGGAGAAGCCCAGAGTTGAAGCTTATCATCCGCCGACAAGTGCTCCCGCCCGCCCCTCCTCCCGTCGGCCGGCCCCCGCCCCCGCCCCCACAGGTGCCATCCGCTGCCATCCGCACCTCCGACCCCCCCAGCCCCAGGTGAGGGGGGTGAGTTCGAGAAGCGGAGACCCCGACGCACCCGGCAGGGTCACCATTTGCAGCGCGACATGGCAGGTAAAGGAGAAATGGCCCTCGCCCACGGGCTGGGTGCCGCTTCCTTCCTCCTCCCTCCATCACCCCCTAGCGACCGCCGGGCCGCGCGTGCAGCCGCGGAGCCCCCGGGGTTGCGGGGCGCGGGGCGGTGGAGGTGGGGGCGGGGAAGCGGTGGGCGCGGTGGGGGCCGAGCTGCGGCGGGGGCGGGTGGGGGCGGGGCGGCGCCGGCGACCGTGGGCGCGGCGGGGGTGGGGCGGAGGGGGCGCGCAGCCCGTCCCCGCTGTGTCCCCTCGCGGCCCCTCCACCCTGTCTGCCCGGGCTGGGCTGCACGTCCTCCGCGTGGTTCTATCTCCCTACCCCGGAAAGCCTTCGTGGGCTACAGTCACATGTATCTGGCACTAAGGGACGGGAGCGCTTTACAAGTTAAAATACAATAGAGGCACACGTGTACCCCCACCCCATCGCCACCCAGCACCCTGGGTACTTAAATGTTTTTGAGGCTGTAGGCCTCAATGTTTCTTTTTTTCCGCGCGAGCGCCTTTCTGTTTTTTTTTTTTTTTAATCCCCTATGACCAGAGAGTGCAAGGCCTTTAATATAGATCACATTGCGTGAAAAACATAATATAAACATTCGGTTTTGCATGTTAGCGTTCGTGCAGATGTCCTTTTCCCAAAAGGGTTTCGTGAAGTTAGTTAAAATAGTTGTGGAGCTCAGTGATATAAATAGCCAAAGGAAGTGCGATTTTGTAAAAGCTAGCAAAAAAAATGTATGGAGAAAACTAGGTTGGAAATACTTAGCAGGGTGTGGGGGTGAACGAAGAGAAGTAATTCCTTTGAGGATTATTTTGTACATTTTGGTGTTACAGATATTTTCCATCAACTAGTAAAATCAATTCTAGATCCATAGATTTGGGGCGTTTTTTTTCCATTTCCTTCTCAGTGCTAGGAAATGCAGTAGACACCCCGGAATTAAACCAGTTTTTGGTGGCCTTCTCCCCAATATTTAAGTAGTTAGTGGAATCTATGAAAAGTTAGCATAGTGATTGACTTAAGTTTGCTGTAAACAAGTTGTGCTTGACCTTGTTGAATGATGAAATGAGATTAAAACTGTTGTGCACCAGATGATGACAAATTAGCGAAATCAATTCTTTGCCAGTCTTGTGGCTGCTTAAGGGTAAGGTGCAGGGAGGCAGAACACGTTTCCTTCGACAGTCTCTTCGGCTGCATTCATTTCTCCTCCTTTTCCTGTCTGGAGCCAGTGATTTGCTGGTAATGAATGCAGTGGAATGGCTGTCAGGCTTGCTGGGTGCTCATTTTGGCGATAAGGTTCTTATGAATCATTACTCCATTGAGGCAGTGTTCTCGAAATAGTCTTTTCCTTCTGTGCTTCATGGTAGTTTAACCTTACTAAGTCTTCTGCGGGCTTTTTTTACACTTAAAGAAAAACTCTAATTTTTGTTTACTTTTTCTGGTGGGTCATGCTTGAATGTAATGCATATTCCAGGAGAAGGAAAAATGGAAGTTTCAAATGTATATACAGTGAGAATGATAGAACCGAACATATGCCTACTCGCAGACCCTCACTCTTGTTTTAAATGTGTTACCAACTACTGGGAACCAACCTTTTCCCAAATTCGTGCACTTGGTGGTGGTTGTATGTGGGTAGTATCAGGCTGTTAGGATCATGCCAGCTGTGATGGATACCTTGTCTGTGTTTATGAGAGTAGACATGAATAGAACTGTTTTAATTGGTATGTTTGCTTTTTCCAGGAGCTGGAGGAGGGAATGATATTCAGTGGTGTTTTTCTCAGGTGAAAGGAGCAGTAGATGATGATGTAGCAGAAGGTAAGAAAGCATTTAATACAAAATTTGAATAATGGAATCTTTTAAAAATTTTAACAATTCAAGGATTTGAGTGTGTGTGTGGTGTGTGTGTGTCTTTGAGACAGGGTTTCATTACGCAGTTCAGTCTGACCTGGAACTCAGCCTCCTGATTGCTGGGTTTTCAGGCCTGTGCCACGCCCAGCTTGGAAGGATTTTCTTGAATTTGAGCTTGTTAGAGTTTAAGAACATTAAGTGTTTACTGCCCAGAAAATGAAAAAAAGTTTTTTAAAAAATCACTTGTTTGAAAAATAGCTTTAAATCTCTCCTTTATACTTTATTTCATTTCTTTTCCCTTGAACTTAAATGAAAAGCAGTCAGTGATTGATACACAAAGCTGTCATAAGAAAGCTCTGAGGCCATATGATAAAGGTTTTGTTGTTATATAGATTCTATGTAAAAAAAAGTGCCAGGCTTTCGTGTGTTGTCTTGAATAATTAAGTAGAAATTGGTACCATCAGCCCTTAGCTCACACCATCTTTTATTTTTATCACAGTTTAGGTGGTTTTGAACTTGCCTGCTTTGAGAATGTAGTATTGGTTGGTATAGTCTGTGAAGAAATTCTGGCTCCAATTACTCATTTTTTCTTGCGGGGATTCATATAAGTGGTTAAAAAATAATGCTGTGAAAGTATAGCTTGCTTTCTGGAGACCATGTTTTCTGTGCTGCTGGAAACAGATTGAGTCGTTGAAGTGCTTAAGTCTTAGTTTGTCTGCCCTCCAAGTTTATTAACTTCAGAAGTTTAGAGTTTTGAATGCTCAGGGTTTTGCATATTCAGGGTTTACAATTGTTGGAAGTGATTTTAGTCCTATGGTGGAGGTGGTATTTCTACAAAGTACTTCTATTATTTCTTTGGGAAGTTTTTTGTTTTTGTTTTTGTTAGTATTATGTCTTGAGTTACAGGAATGTTCTAAACAAAACAGGAAATTAAAACGCTTCTAGTTTTAAATCTATGTAATAAGAGTTTACTAACTGTTGTTTAGGTTTTGTTTGTGAGAAGATTGTATTCTGTAGACTGCTGTTTGTTTGCAGAGTTCAGGTTTTTCCTGGCAGTGGCAGGGTGGTGGCGTGTCGGACCGGCCAAATGTGTGCACAGTGTTTGCTGGGATCCCTGTCTTTCTACATGAAGTGTCTGATCTGGGTGTGGCAAATTCTACAGAAAGCCAGCTGCATGCATTAGACTTGCCATACGTTACAGAGCGCTCCCACTCTTTTTTGTTGGGTTCTCATCCATTTTTCAGATGAAAAAACAGAAATTTGACCTAAAAGGCTCACTGATGGTGACACACATAATGACGTTTCCTCTTGAAGGACATGTGTTTTTGACTTGTGTAGAGAAAGGAGGAGTCCCATATTAGTCATTTTATGACTCCCATTACCTGTTGAATAGTAGGCACTCAGAGTATTAATTCTTTGCTCTTCTGTAATACCAAGTTATGAAAGTGCTGTATATTTGGAAAACATTCCTTGGTTGAATTGTGTATTTCCTTTATCTGAGGTCTCCTAAATGCCAAGCATAGAGGGTATGTGGTGTTCAGAGTGTGAACTCCACTCAAGGCTCATTATCTGTTAAGAAGAAAGACCACATGGATTTTATTTAATCAAATCAATATTCAAAATTGAACATCATTTACCTAACTGAAGAAGTCTGTAGTTTTGATATATTGTATATGATGGGTCAGTTGTGTTAGTTTTTGTCTGCTAATATTAAGTAGCACTGTTTTACTGCTGATTCATTAAATAATTTTGAGGTTGTTAAATGTTAACATTCTTAGCATCTTAAAGTGAGACTTAGTATGTGGGTTCCAATAATACGATTTGTTGCAGTATTTATGTTTTTACAAGTGTTATGTATAAAAAGCATCGGTTTTCAAATTGTACTACTTTGGAATTTTTTGCATACTGTAGTCTGCATATTATTACCTATTATGCTTATTTTACCGAGAACATTTGCTTTGCTGAATTAAGAGTTCTTAAATTTTCCTCACAGTTGTAGAGTGGTGGTGGTGAACCTGTGACATGTATGCCACTGCAGGCTGTATCACTGCAAGCTATAAAAAGTTCGTCCTCACTGATTTAAAGTATAACTTTAGACAGATTAGATCTTCTCACCCTTTAGTTTAGATTGCCTGTTTTCTGTTAATGATACGGCTTCATCTCTTTCCCATCAAAGACTAGACCTTGTCTCCTTTTCTGTGTTGAGTCAGCTGCAGGAATACTATTTTTCCTTCTGTAATGCTTTAGTTTTTCCCTGTTGCTTTCCCCTTTGTTCAGTTTGATTCTATGTAAAATCTAGCCTGTAGTAGGTGCCTAAATTCCTTTCTTTGTCCGGTGTTTCTCGTTAAGTTAATCTGATATGCAGTCCCAGTTTTGGTCATTTTTCTTAGAAATCTTTAGTGGGTCACTGTATCCATTGAGTTAGGAACTAAATGGATACTATACTTTGGCTGAGACCTGTGACTCACTTCAGGACTTTTGTTTTTGCCATTTCCACTGTAATGTGCCCAACAGCTTCCCACTGTTCTTCCCTGTTAGACTTATGCTTCCGGCCATGCCAGTAAACTCAATTTACTCATATATACATACATATGTATATGTATCTGCATATATATGTGCATGTATGTATGTTTGTCTCTGCGGTGTTGTGGATTGAATTCAGGGGCCCACGCATTCTAAGCAGGGCTCTCCACTGAGCTACATTCCAGTCCCTTTTTAGATTTTAAGACATATGGTCCTGCTGAATTGCCCAGACTGGCCTTGAACTCGCAGTTCTGCCTCAACTTCCCAACTTCCTAAGTAGCTAATATCACAGGTATGTGCTAATGTGGTCTGCTGGAAATATGTTTTAGATATTCTTTTACAGTGCTTCATTACATAGATGTTATATTCAGTGCCCAAATCTCCACTGTTGTACTGTGAACCTAGTGAGAACTGATTTACTTTTGTGCTTTATGCAGAATGTCCTGTATAAGTACTGTACCTAGAACAATGCCTGGCACAGTACATGTTAAATGTTTGTTGAATAAGATAATCTCATTGTTACTGTTTTTGTTATAGGTTTTGAAAGCGGAAGAAAGTGGGTGAAAAGTAGGATGATGGAGATTTTTTTCTGGCAATTGTGGCTCTGTTTAGTTGGCAGCCTTTACAGCTGGATTGCTGATGCACAGTTGTGTAATACAAAAAAATTAGGAGATCTTGGGCTTTTTCCCTAGCTCACTCATGAACTAGTGTATGTCACATTAAGTATTCCTCTGGGTTTCTGTATGCTTACACAAAATGACAGGACTGGATTAGGTGATTTCTGCTGTTTTTTATAGTGTGGTTTTGTTAATTCCTAGAGATGTCTTACTTAGAAGGAAACAGTCCAGCAGTGTTACCACTGCCAAGTGAAACTTGAGATGTTGGACTCAAGGGGCCCTAATTTAAAATTTAAGTCATCAGTGGACTTACACAAGGCTCAGAATTTTATTATTAAGTACAATACAGATCTAAGACAAACAACCTTCTGAAAGGGTTCTGATAGAACTGAGGAGGGGAGGAAGAGGAGGAGGACTGGCCGCGGTGGCTGAAAAGATAAGAAGTATAAAATATAAGTAACCTTTATTTTGGGAGTGTGGGGAGAGACACCCCCGACCCCCTGTGGCATGGCATCTCCACCCCCGGGCCGGCGATCTCTCCGTGGAACACGTGGAGTGAGGCACATAAGTAGCCTCGGCCTGGGGTGGAACCCAAGGGGGCATTAGGGATGTACAGGTAGCCCATTGGTCTTAGTTTGGCGCCAGAGGTAATTTCCAAGGGTGGGGGGAGATAGGAGCTCCCTGGCTTTACTGGCTACAGTATCCGGCCTGGGCCAGCAATCCTTTCACTTTCAATATATTAGTACTGCGTTTTGGTCTCCATAGGCTCTTCTGTGAGGAGCTTTCATTTTACGCTTCATGGTAGCAATAGCGTTGTGTCATTTTAAGTCACTCAGGGTGGGTTTGCTGTAATCTCAACACTCTGGGTGGCTGAGGCAGGATTATGACAAGTTTGAACCCATCCTGGGCAATTAGTGACTTAGTGAGACCGTGTCTCAAAATAAAAAATAAGATAAAAAGGGCTAGGGTATAGCTCGGTGTGCAGGCCACAGGTTCAATCCTCAGTATCATATACACAATTTTTTTTATTTTTTTGTTCTTTTGAGATAGGGTCTCACTAGTCTGTTCAGTTGGCTTTGAGCTCACTTTGTATCCCTTGAGCTCATTTTGTAACCTAGGCTGGTCTCAAACTCTCAATGACTCTCCTGCCTCAGCCTCCCAAGTGATAGGATTAAAGGTGTGTGCCACCATGCCTGGCTCTTTTCATATTTTTAATTCTTCTTGAATTGATAATTTTGTCATACAGGGGTAAGAAAGCATTTGGGTGCTATAGCATAGTTTGAACCCTCAGATCATTTGTTTGCTATTTGATCAGGGGCGCTGTAATTTATCCATTGTGCCTGTGGCCCCCTTCATAAGTGAGGATGGCAGTTAATCTTGTCTTACGTTGTTGCCTTGATGATTATATGTGGAACAGTACCCAGCACATAATAAAAGAAGCTTTCTAATGATTTAGCTGTCATTACTTTAATGTGTATACCAAATAAGGGAGCCTCATTGGCGAATGAAGAAACAAGGAAATAGTCTTTCTTTCTTTTTTTGGTCTTTTTGAGACAGGGTCTTGTTATGCAGTTCAGGCTGACCTTGAGCTCATTGTAGCCCAAGCTGGTCTTGAACTTGCAGTGATCCTCTTGCTTTAGCCCTCCAAGGAGTACAGGGATGGGAATTGTCTTTAAAAAGCTATAAAAACACTTCTTAGCCAATGTGAAGGAGATAGTATGTATATGTGTTTTATACATGTTCTTTGTGTTACTAATAAAGTTCAGAAAAATTCAAAACTAATTTTTGGTTTTGAGAGCCTGTGAAGCTGGTAAAATTGTAACAAAG